ACCCAGGCGCCCCTTAAAACTTTTGAAAATGGTATGACTTACCAATACTTTGGCCTCAGACTCAAACTGACTTGCATTGTGTAGGTGGCAGGAAAAGCTGCACTTCAGCTGACACATGGATATACTTAACACACACACACACACACACACACACACACACACACACACACACTGCACTGGTCAGACTTCTTAGAGAGTTATAAACTGAGTGATATTATGATAAAATCTAGACCCTGAGTCAACTATTGGATAATCAAATTCAGGGAACAAACTCACAACTGTTCAAATTGCTTTTCGGATACAAATAGTAAGCAGTAGTCACAAAATGGTGATTTTCACTGATTTAAGAGCTATGCATAGTACCGTAAAGCACTCACTTATTTACACCCTGGTCTGCCACACTAGCATATAGCATTTTGAAAGAACAAGATTTATTTATCTTTTATCCTTGGCACCAAGAATTTGCTAGGAGCTCAGTAAATGTTTACTAAATGCATCACAGTCACAACACCCAGAAGGAATCTAAAAATCAATGAATATAAACATCTTGCCCTCAAACAGCAAGAAAAACTGGAAAGGCTCCTGTAAGGCTTTTACTTTTTTGAGCAAGAGTAGAAACTAAAACAGATATATCATCCTCGTAAGAAAATGACCACAAGAGGAAGTTACTAAAAATAAATAAATAAATAAACCTACTACTTATATTAAAAAATAATATTTAGCAATTTCTTAATTGGAAACTAGTGAGTTTCCAAGTCTAAGACTGACAGCTGATCAGTATTACCCATATTTCAAATGTCTACAAAGCAAAATGCATACCATTACTCAAGTTGTTTTTGTTTAGTCTGTTGAAATCTTTTACCTAGATTCCTTCATTCATTAGCTGACAAAAATATTCTAATGAAGACGTTCACAACAAAATACTGGAATATCTTTATTTTTCACCCCTTTTATCCTGATAAGTTATACAGTTAGAAAAGATTTGAAAAACAAATACTTTTTTAGGAATAATGAAATTAAATAGGACATTCAAACACATTTTCACATGGGTCTTAGAGAACTTCTAATTAATTTATAATTCTACTATATCCTTAGTTTAATGGAAAAATACTAGCTAGCTACAAGAAAAAATGATCCTCAAACATTTCAGTCATACCTGTTTCTGAGCTTCTACTTTTTGCTTTCTGGTTGGATCAATTGCATCTACCATCCATTTGATTGTAAAGTATGTTACTGCACCAAATATCGTCAAACGGAAAATTAAACCAACAACTTCATTCCGACTCAAGGGACGAGAAAAAGCTTCAGCATGTACCATCTTGATTAACCTTAAAAGACAAACAGAAATGTCACTAAGTAATAACTAGATTCATTACAATTGGGAGACTGATAAGTAGCTTAAACTTAGCAAGAAACCTAACTTCTAGTCAAATTCAACATTACCTGCCTTAAAGTGTCTTATTTTAAGGAAAAATGAACATACTAAAAACTGGGAGGTTTATTAAACTTTTTAAATGAATTTTCCTTAAAGCTCATATAATTTAAGCAGACAATAATTCTGCAATAATACAGTCAACATCTTATGGTATTTACTCTTTTTAAACAGCTTTTAAATAACTATTTCAGAAAATCTAGAGATAGAATGACCAAAACACCAATCCAACTGAAGAAAGGCAGCCCGACAATGAAATAATTTACTAATGTGATGGTAAGAATTTCTTCTAAGTACAATGTACAACAGGCAATTTTTGAGTGAAACTGAAACTGAACAGATTCGCTTTTTCTTTAGGCTTACTTTTCAGGTTTTCAAGGCCTGTTTAAATTTAAACATGCCATTTTCTCTATTAATAAGTGACATTAAATATTTTGAGCCATCCTGTTTCCAACCACCCAGCTAAATATGAAGCACTAGAATCTTCAAACCTTTTTGAACCACAACACAGTAGTCGCCTAAGACGGAGAGGAAAGGAGGCAGCGTGCCCACTTTTACCCACATCTCTGGGCAGCCAGCTCAGTCACATACAGGCTTGCAGAAGGCATGCACACCCCTGTCAATAAGGCAGTAACTACCCAGAACAATACGGTTGTTAGGGACGATGGGACTGTCACATTTTGGAAGACAGGATCTTAGATTCTAGTAATGCCATCTTCCTCTCATGGCATAGGACTATGCTGAGTGCTATGCTATGTGAAAAAGAGAGAGAATATATTCTGCACTCATGTGAACAGGAGTAAATCAGAATTTGCACAGATGGCTCAGCAACCGGTAAAAATTAGGAACTGCATAGATTCGTATCTATGGTCCTCCACTAAAATTAGTTTCCCTTGTCACTACTACTACTCAGTTAAAGATCTTCTTCACTTCCCTCCCTCTGGAATAGCTCCAACGATTTTTAAATTCCTCTTAGATACCTCCCCCCTTCCATTCAAGAGTATATACTTCTCCCTGATAAAAAGACTTCAAAGCTTTCCTTTTACTTACAGGATTTCCAAGTGTTCAAGACCATCCTAACCTAACCTTAAGAGTAACGTTTAAGCATTTTCTCAGTAAGAACTTTCAATAGCTGGAGTCACTGGTATCTGAAAATGCCATGTGTATTTTCCCTCCACCATATTTGGTACCCTGGGACAGGTCATTTCTCTCCCTTCATCTAGGATTAGTCAATTTCTACCCAAACTTCAAAAACCAACTTTACCTTCTTCATCTGTCACATACAAGAGACGTTATTCAGTAATTATCTGAATCTATATGTATCTATAGCAGAAACACTTCCCACTCAATCATTCCAACAAAACTGCTGCCAGACTTTGAACGGTTTCCCAAAAAAAGTCAAGGGTTCCACGTTTCTCCATTAAGAGGGGCCATTTACTTCACAATAGTACGTTATTTAACTTAACAACAAAATAATTGAAAGCCTTCATTTCAGATGAAGAACCTTTGACCTAGGGACATTAAGTGATTTAATTCACACCATAAAGCACCTATTGAACATGTATTTATAATGCCTACTATATACTGGGCATTCGATAACGGTCAAGATACAATTACTGTCCTCAAGGAATACAGTCCAGTTATTAATTATATCTCTATAAATGGAGCTAGGGAGGAAAAGCCACCTAATTAAACTCTCTCCTCATGCAACAAATTCAAGTGTGCTTTCATCCATCAGCATGGATTCCTAAAGATGAGTTAACAATACTCCACTTAGAAGTAAGCCTTCATTCTAACAGAGTAAATTTGAAAATTCAGCTGGAAGATGTGATATCATGACGCAGGGATATTATTCATTGATGTAAATAAACCAATAGGCAAAAATCAAGGTTTTATTAGCTTAATCTGTGAAACCTAGTGCTATTCCAATAAAACATTTCCATTTATTTAAAAGCTTGAGTTAGCAGCGATAGAACCGCCACCTACTGGATGTTCACGGAACTGCATGAACAACTAGGGCAAGTTTCAGTACATCCCAGTCGCCGAGACAATGACAATTTTTAATCCTATAAAAAATTTCAAGACATAAAACCTGTTAACTATACATTTTCCTATATTTAAATTAGTACCTGCAGTAGAGTACTCTAGACCTACGGCCATGTTTAAACCAGTAGTGCATCTTTCACAATGATTTTAAAATCCTGAAATGAAACCGAAACTCCTACTTGTAGGTTGTAACCGTATACACTTTATTGTCCACTCATCTATCGTTCATATGACACGGACCCACCTGCAATATAAGGCCGTTACAGTGGCAATGCAGCAGAATACACAACAAAAGCTGCGTGTGCACACAGCAGTACGGAATGTATTTCAATCTTGTATAAATAAAAATTAAAAAATCAACAAAATACGCAAGTATGTACAAACGTACAGACGCTATTATGTACAACTAAGAAATATGGCAAAACCCTGCAATGCATAGTTATCTGTTAGGCAAACACGACACCAGACAGTTTCATTTAAAGAGTTCTCCGTTTCAGGATAGAAAACTTTAGAAATCGTACCACCTCGTCAGTGAGCAATCTACTGACAGGTTAGGGACCGAGAGTATGGTGTTTCTGTTCTAATTCACTGCAGGGTTGTAGAAAAGTTTTTCTCAACCCCCAAGTCCCAGTCTCGAGGGCAACAAGGCCCTAGGAACACAGCCTGTGACAATGACTGCCAACCTTCCCATAAAGGACAGGTTATTATTAACAGCACCATCCTCTGCGAGGGCGTGCCCGGGCCTGAAGAACCCCCTCCGCCTTTGCACTAGGTAGTGGCAGTGCCCGTGCGACAGTCACAGCCGGGTCCATCCGGCCGCCTCCGCCTAGGACCCCCGGTGTTGAGGTCGCCCGGGACGTCCCCAGGCCCCCGCGGCGACCCGGCTGTCTAGCGAGAGTCCCTCGCAAGTCGCATAAATGGCGGAGGGGGGCAGCGCTAACGGAGACCCAAGGGCCTAGGCCGGGCCGGAAGCCAAGGCAGGCCCGGGACGCCCTTGGAGGTTAATCCGCCGGATACCCAGGGCTGCGGAAAGCCGGGGGGCTGCACGGAAGAGGGGCGTGGGAGGAAGGCGCGGTGACCTTCCTCGCGCGGCCTCCCAGATCCCAGCCGGTCCCCAAGGGAGCTCAGAGGGATCCCGCGCTCGTCCCACGAGGCCCGGGAGAACCCCGCTACTCACCCCGGGGCGGACACTGAGGCAGCAGGAGCCCTCAGCCAGCCTCACACGGGAAGGAAACGCCGCCTGGGAGAGAGTGCTTCCGGCGGGGGCCGTGCCCCGCCCCCTCGCACGGAGCATGCGCCGCCCACGGCCGTCGGCAAGAAGAGAGCGCGCTTCCGGGTTTCAGACAAGGCGGAGTGCGGGGGTGACGCGGCCGGAGGGGGCTGGCGTTTTACGTGTAGCAGGTGCGGCCGCTTAGAGCCCTCGCGGAGGTGCGGAGTTTAGCTACTGAGATGGGCTCGGGGAGGGCGCTAATCACAGCAGGTCCCTGCCGAGCTCGCGGGCCCCGGGCGCGACCCTGACAAATCGGGGAGCCTTTTCCAGAGTGCGAAGAAATGCTGTGCATCCCCGCAGAGTTCTCCCCGACTCCTCCTTCAGCCTTCCGCCCGCCTCTCGCCCCTCACCCCGCGTGCACACCCGCAGGCTCCTGTTCTGTCTGTCCTTTAGCCATAGCGCTGACGCGCATGGCCACCCCCCACCCCTCACCATCTGCCTTTCAGTTTCTACGGTGAGCTCACCCTCCTCCCCCGTCTCCGCGCTAACAAACACCTGGGGGTGGCGCCTGAAAGCCATGTGAAACGACTTTGCAGCCCACCCAAGCAGGACCGGCAGTCGGGACAGAATAGGATATCTGGTAGCAGGATTTGCATTTCAGTGACTTCCCTTTTTCTTCTACACCTTCCCCTTTCCAGAATGAGAGACGTGACACAAGAGGTCCCAAGGGAGCAAACCTGAAAGCCAGCGCCACCTGAACGCACAGACGGCCAGGGGGCGAGATGATACTCCCCACTGTTTCCAGATAGAAGAAGCATCGCTTTCTTCAGGTAGAGGCGGCAAGACTAACCTCCTCCGGAGGGCAGTTTGTGCCTTTCTGCTTTAGACATCGTCTTTGATGTCTAAAATGCTGCAGCCTGATTGTAGGAGTTAGTGTATGCTATGGATGCCTGCTGGGTGTCCCGTGATCGGCTTCTATGTGCTTCACATCCATAATCCAAATTCCTCCAAAAAAACAATCCTCTTAAGTAGCCGTGATTTTCTGTTTTTATTGACGAGCAAATTTTGAGGCCTAAGGAGAAAAACTTTCCTAAGTTCATGTACGTAATAGGCAAATTTCACTGGAACCAAATTTAATTCAGACCCTACCCTTTACACTTTCTCTTTGAGATAGTAATTTAATAGCAGTTCTATTTAAGTCTAGTTGAAAGAAGACCATGAAATGACAAAGTCGTAAGTCTTTAAAGGGTGAGGATGGGATGGCAGGGATGTGTAATATTTTAAAAACTATGATTGGGTTCATTAACAAGGATCAGAATGGAATTTAATACTGAATGATATGAAGCTAGGTTTAAGAGAACTAGACTCGTTATTTAGAGAGGATATAGAACTTTGGGAAGAACAGGATGATTATAAGACCAGGACAGTTTACCAAACCAAAGCAAACCGAAACCATGGTTGCTCAGTAGTCTTGAAAGTAGTCTTGGAAGAGACTCTCCATTGGTTCCCTGGGATTATCCTCAGACTTATCCTCAGTCTGAGTCATTGCTTGGGATGCTCCTGGGAGCGTGCATTGACAGAGCTAAAAGATAGAGATTACTGAAGGAAAGAACTTTAGGTGGCCCACTAAGATCGGCTCACCAGTAAGGAAAATGAGCTGAGAAATTCAAGATGGTAATGGACTTTCATCGTTCACTGAGTGAAAATGTACCAAGGACCTCCGCTGCCTATGCTGAGGACCAGGGTGTCCAGTCTACCCAGTTTGTCTGACACTAAGTGGGTTTTTGAAACATAGGACTTTGGATGCTAAATCAGAGAAAGTCTTAGGCAAACCATGAGGAGCTGATCCCCTATTAGGGACATCTTATATGGATTCTAGAATGAAGTGGAACTCCCGATATGATTGCATCTAGTCTCAATTCACCTGGAGTATGATTGTACAGGAAGTTGTTGGTAAAGTAGTCAAGACTGGCCATAAAGAGTCTGCGTGCCCCCAAATAAATTCTCTGCTCATTTCTTTTCCAGTGGTTTGGCTATAAACCAAGTACCTGCTGTCTGCACCTATACCTTTTGGACCTAACTTTCATTTAGCAAATTTTCAAGAAGCCTCTTATGTCTGCGTCCTAAGACATCAAATTACTGTCTTCTCACATATCATGCACGTTCATTTCCAGCTATCACTAGATCAGCTAAGTTCTTCCAGAATAGAGCTGAGTGAACATATGCTTTTCATCATAGGATAGCTTTATATAATTCCTGGCAGCACAAAACACCATATTTGGCCCACAGTAGGGGCTCAATAAATAATTCATTATGTATAACATTAATCAGGAAATTATGACAACAGATTTTTTGTAGACTTTCTGGGCCTTCCCCTTGTGATTGTTAGAATCAAGATATTAAAAATAATTATTACATTTATTATAGAAAGTTGGGTTTTGGGTTTTTTGTTTTGTTTTTGGTTTTGTTTTGTTTTTTACCAATGCCTCCTAAAACAGTTTATGGCAGTTCTTCCCACTTGGAACTGAATTATCCTTTACGTTTGTTAGTTGGATGGGAGTGTGATTAATTTGCTCCACAGCCAAGGTGAATCTTTGCACTAGACCCTGAAGGGGAAGGGATTCCTTAGATTAGGGGTTCTCCGATTTCATTGTGGGTCTGTTCACTTGGACAACTTGGCAAAATGCCGATTCCTACGGTATAGACTTAGAAGCTCCCATTTAACTGCTCTAGGTTTTGGGGATTTGAATTTTGAATAAGCATCTGAGATGGTTTTGGATACTTGGAAAAACTGCCCTAGTCAGTGATGATTTTAAGATTTTTTTTTTTATTCATGAGAGACAGAGGGGGGAGAGAGAGAGAGAGAGAGAGAGAGAGAAGCAGAGGGAGAAGCAGGCTCCCAAGGAGCGGGGAGCCTGATGCGGGATTCAATCCCAGGATCCTGGGATCATGACCTGAGCCGAAGGCAGACGCTTAACCATCCGAGCCACCCAGGCGCCCTAGTCAGTGATGATTTTCGATGTATTTTTACAAAAACCTTTTATGTTCCAGCTCCAAAAGCCTGTCTGGTCAGCTGAACCATTAAGTCAGATGATGTATAGCAAAAAATCAAGGCAAGGGAGTCTCACGTTGAGATTCAGAATAAAATCTCTTTGAAAGGAAAAACAAATCTAAAATTTTTGGATAAGCAGACACATTACACCTGACCCTATTTGTTGCTCATTAGAAATGATTCTCTTGGGCGCCTGGGTGGCTCAGTTGGTTGGGCGACTGCCTTCGGCTCAGGTCATGATCCTGGAGTCCCGGGATCGAGTCCCGCATTGGGCTCCCTGCTCGGCAGGGAGTCTGCCTCTCCCTCTGACCCTCCCCCCTCTCATGTGCTCTCTCTCTCTCTCTCTCTCATTCTCGCTCTCTCAAATAAATAATAAAAAATCTTTAAAAAAAAAGAAATGATTCTCTTGACAGTGATTTAGAAAGAGCAGAACTTCAACAAATATATAGAATTACATCGCGGTAATTATGCCAGTATAATAGTCACTTGGTAGCCTTGGTTCTTTTAAAAGTTTCTTTTGACAAGTTAAATAGGATGGTTGGAGAAAGAACAGTAAAGCAAGAATATGGTACCTGAAACCAGAAAAGCACCGAGAAAGACCGAGATTAAATTGCTTGAAGCTCCAATAGAAAGAATAAGATGGCAACAAGGCAAAAGTAATGGAAAATTAAAATTTCAACAGAATGGAAGGAGTGGAAAGATGAATTGATAGCTCCATTCTATAAAAAGCACAGAGAGCTAACAGATGCAATAGCAAAGTTGTTCAGCTCTTTCAAAGTTGAAAGAACATGTTGTAAATTTACTTTTCATGCGTTTTACGTTTTAAAATTTTACACATAATTTAAAACGTGTGTATATGTACTTCTGTAATGTTATCAGGGTTGCACTAAACCACAATCTTCCATCGCCACATAATCCTTTTTCTTAAGTACTACTGCCAATTGGACTTTTTTTACAGTTTATGCTAGCCATAAACATCGTCTAGCACTTGGATATTTATTTTAAACCTGCAGTGTTTTGTTGTTTAGCTTTAATATGGTACTGAAAATATACTGCTCAAATGATACTGTCTGTGGAAAGTCGGGATGGATCAAAACGGAATTGCTTGGGAAGAAGGCTAACCCCACTGTAGACTCATTAGCAAAAGTTTTAAAGCATAGATGAAAGAGCAATCTCCCTAGGATTCATTTAGGACCTTCATCAATACCCTTCCATATGCTTTTCTTCAATGGGAGAGAGGATGCGAGGGATTGGGTGAGAATGACAAAGATGTGAATTCATCAGTGAACATGGAAAAAACAGTAGTTGAAACATTAATTCTCAATTTCTGTAACAGCAGATTGATAGATGAAGCATAAAACAAGACCAGATGCTGTGGTTTCCAGGATGCACTTGGCTTCCCATGCTTTATAACCTGGAGCATTTATTGCTGTAAGTAGGTCACTTGCTTGCTCTCATTTACCTGATTCGAGGAAAATGCCCTTGAAAGTATTTGGAAAAGAATGTGTGCTGGTATTTAATATTCTAAAAATTAAGATTCCATAAAACCCCTTTTCCCCCCATTTCTCTATTAGTTTGAATAAGTTGTAACCCTGAAACATAAGTGAAACAAAAATGGATGAGAAGAATTTGAGATCTCATTTTCTAAGCACAAAAACACTAAAATCCTGTGTCCATTCTGTTTTCCCCCATAATTTACTCTACTGAGCCCCGACACAGTATCCATCTCTCAGAATTCTAATTGGGGTTTAAGTTTTTGTATTCTCTTATCAGATGTGAACTTCTTGAGAAGAGAGGATGCCTAGGACATAGGAGGGGCTTAACAAATCCTTCTTTAAAGTTTATGTATTGAAGTGTAGTTGACACACAAAGGTTATATTAGTTTCACGTGTACAACATGATGATTCCACAACTCTGTACATTCCGCCGTGCTCACCACAGTAAGCACAGTCACCATCTGTCACCATACGAGGTTATTACAATATTGTTGACTATATTCCTGATACTGTGCTTTTCATCCCCATGTCTTACTTATTTTATAAACAGAAGTTTAATCCCCTTCCCCTATTTCATCCATCCCTCCGCTCTCAACTAGTGTTTTAATTAATTGATTTTCCCCCCAAATCTGACCTATCTAATGGGGCTTTTTAGGCTCCATTCCTACAGATTTCACCTGACTAGGGGAGAAAAAGGAAGGAAAGACATGGTTCAAAGACAGGAGATGTGGAATCAAGCCATTTTACTGACCGTACGTATATTATTGCCGTGTTGTGATAGGTCCATTCCTGATGTGTCCACCAGAGACTAGTCTCATCAGGGTGAGTCTCGGTACCCATAGGATTCAAGAACATGGACACTGCAGTCCAACAGACCTGGGTTTGAATGCATGATCTGTTCTTTTTTACTAGCTCTTTCACTTTGGGCCATTTATTAAGCTCACTAAGCCGCAACTTCCCCATTTTTATATGGGGACAGAACAGTATGCATGCCATGGAGTTGCATTGAAAATTAAATGAGACAGTATCAGGAAAGTGCTGAGCTCTATGCCTGGCACGTAGCAAGTACTCAATAAACATGCCATTGTAATGCTGATATTTTTATTATACTGTGAAATGAGGTTCTCTCATTTCCAGAAGTCTCTAAGGACAAGGATTCCTTCATATCCCCATAGTATTTGCATGAAGACTTCACCTCTCAAAGTTTTAACCATAGCACCTCGCCTGGGACTGAGTTCTCTGGCTGGTGAAGGGCCATGCCTCTCTCTCTGCCTTCTTGATTCTCTTATTCTCACTCTTAACACACCTCTCTGGCCGACTCTTAACTGATTAGTAGTTAAGAAACCATTTTTGATAGTTATGTAAGACCTATAAGAGTCCATCCTTATGGTCACCAACAATTAAATTTAAAATATCGATCAATCCATGAAAATAGCTATGTGGATATTTCTCAGTTCACTGAAGACCATTACTGATATTGGCTGTTGTTCCCATCTGTCTAATAACAGCCATTTATTGAGCTTACAGTTCTGGCTCTCATGGAGTTCTAAAGACTAAAACATCTTATAAAAATGCAAGTCCTCACAGGGCTATTGATTTTTTTTAAAGCTAAAGGTTTATCCTATATTTCATCCCCATTTATCATTTGTTTAGGGAAAACTTCCTCCCTTCGATCGTTGAGTGGGTTTTGCACAAGAAAAAGAAATTAGTTCATTGGGTAAAGGTGGGATGCTGAGCCAGACTGGAGATTTTAGAAGTCGATACTTCGCCTGTCTTTATGTTTTCTTTGCAAACTACAACTTTCTTATCACACTTGGGGACTGTCATTAACATCAGAGCTGCTATTCTTCATATAAAATTTAATTCATTTGAGCACAACACATTTAAAAAAAAAATTTACTATGTGCAACTCATGGAAACGCTCCTGAAATTGAGGGAGTTTTCCTGAGCAAAAGAAGCACTATATCCTGGTTAGAGACTGAGTATGTGGCTTTCAAAAGCAAAGACAAGGTCAAACCTTGCTGATTTTAGATGTTTAAGAAGGAGATTATACTAGACCTTCTTTCACCCTAGAGAAGCCCCACAATAGTGTACTGGCAAGCTAACATTAAAATCACCCTTCTCATCTTTTTATTGCCAGTGTTTCTGGAACCAGAAAAACAAAACAAAGGTGTAAGTAAGAAAAGAAAGAAAGAAAAGCCTGTAACTTGAGTCACAGAAGTACAGGAAACAAATCAAGTATACTAAGTTGGCTGTGCTCAAAGCCGCGTTCAACTTCAAAACACTATACCTGATAGAGTTTCATGCACCTTTCTCCTTTCCAGTCCGTTGCTAATGATTAAGCTTAAACTCCAGAACTATTCTGAGAGCAGTCAATGCTGAATGAGTCCGGTGCCAGAGGCATGGCCCATACCTGTTCCTTTATGTCCTCTGTGTTCTCAGGTAAATAGGGAGGGGGGCCACAAAGGGGACAGTTAAGGAAAGGAGGCAAAGAGGTTGACCCTCCGACAGTGTTTTTCCCCCCTGTGGTGTTGTGCAAAAAGCAGAAGAGATGCTAATGATTCTTAACCAGCTGAAAGCATGAGAATTTTGTCTAGATGATCTTGAATCTCAGGCTGGACAGTGTTCCACCTTCCACATTCCAATGCATCCATCATTCAGTCCTGCCTGGGCTAGATAGACTGGCTTTCCGTAGTCTGTTAATCATGTTGTCCTCATGGGCTAGTGTCGAAGGAGCCTTCCCCGACTCCTTTCCTAGAACTCTTGGAGGTAGATGGGGAAACAGTTTGAGTGGTGTCTAAAGTCATGAAATACAGTGATTGTTCATTTTTTTTGGAGAGGGGAGGGGTAAAGAGTAAATAATCCTACTTCCTCAGTTGAGTGAATCATAAGCATTTCCAGCACGTGAACTCACACGTGTAGACAAAAACATGAGACGACTAAAAACCTCACCGGAGACATTCTTCCTCATTCGATAGGAGGGTGGGGGTCTATGATACTCCGTTTTGGTAACCATCTCCAAATTCTGTCTCTGTACCCGATACAGGAAAGTATTGCCAAGTCCAGAGTGTCAGGTACAAATACAGCCTCTCTCAAAATAGTTTCGAGCATGCAAGATGCAGATTATTGAGTACAGTATTTGAGAAATTCTGACAATACTAAAGGGAAGGGTCGGCTCTGTGGCCCTGTCACATGTCAGATAGCCTTTCTGGGTCACCTCCTCTGGAACTGAGCTAGTTCTACCAGCTTCGTCATTCCACGGTTCTGTGATTCTCTCTGGCCTGAGTGTGAAGCAACTTTGGTTTGAATTTCTTCCCCCCTGCGACCCAACAAATGAATGCTAAATTTGAATTCTAGGTTTGGGAGTAGAGTTGGAAATATTAAGTGAGGAAGGTTTCTGAGAAGATTTGTGTAGTAACCCCTTGTTGGCCACCATTCTGCCCGTCCTAGTTTAGTCACAATGTGGTTTCACATTTGTATGCTTGAATTGTAAAATGTGTATGTCTGGAAGAGTTCAGTTCCTTTAAATTAAAGGACTTAGCTCCTTTGTGTATGTCTGGAAGAGTTCAGTTCCTTTAAATTAAAGGACTTAGCTCCACTTATCCCTACCCCCATCTGCACCCCTATCCCAATCTTAAGGTCAGATGGTAAAGATGGAGGAGGTCTGCTCTTCTCCACCCTGTCCATATATGACAAGTAGAGAATAACAGTAGGAGGCCGGGCCTGGAGAAACCATGCCCTTCTTTTGCGGAGAGACCAGCTGGCTACTAAGAATGTTGCCAAGGCTTGCAAAAATGGTACTAGAGAGAAAGCAAATGCAAGAAAGCATTAAATATCAATATACTAAGGGCTACATCAAGAACTTTTTCAAAAAGAAGTGTGGTTAATATAAGATAAACCCCATCTTCCATAGCAGATCATGGCTCCCAGGATATGAGCTCATGAGCAACTGAAGGAAAATAGTCTTTTCTGTTTTATTACCAATATTATTGTTTTATTCTCTTGTAAATTCCCTATTTTCTGTGAAACCTTGAACTTGCCAGGTTTTAGCTAACAAGGCACTTTTCAGGAAGGTACCTATCACCACCCCCAGTTAGTGAGAGATCACCATGACAAATTTTGAAAACACTCACATAGATTCTAATGAATCATGTTTTAATTGAGAGCTGAAGAGGAAGAGTGCAGAAGTAAGAACATAGATTTAGCTGTACCTATGTGTTCCTTTGGCACTTTTATTAACAGAAAAAAATTCACCTCTTTTTTTTTAAAGAAGGTTTTAAAATCTCATTCTCTAGGAAGTAAATTCAAGAGTAGCAAGTTCCATACCTCTTCTACACGGTACAATTTACTGTTAATTTCATTGACTGTTGATATACTGAGTGGTGTGTTAAGCTTGGAACACATCTCTCTCACTGAAGTAACAAACCAATATTAAGAAAGATAAGACACATGCATTTTTCCCTTGATAAAGACACCTTCTCCAGTGTTATAGAAATGATTAGGGAAGACCTAGATATATTTTTAGGAGGATATAAGTTCAAGGAATCACATTCTTTCAGGATTGAAAGGAATATCACATGTCATTGAATCTTAGTGGATGCCTCTGAATCTTGAACTTATCCTGATACAAATTGTTTTCAAATATTATAACAACAGTGTATCCTATTTGAGTTTTATTTTAAATTAACATATAGTAAAATTGACAGTGTGTGCATATGTGTGTGTGTTTACAGTTCTCTGAATTCTGATACAATAGATTCATATAACCACCACCACAATCAAGATACATAACAGTTTCATTCTCCTTAGAAACTACCTTGTGTGACTCCTTTGTAATTACCTCCCCAACCCCTGGCAGCCACGGATCTGTTCTCCATCACTGTAGGTTTGTCTTTATGGGAATGACATAGCAATTAAATCATGCAGCATGTAACC